CTAAAACCAGCCCTATCTCAAGACCTAGACCTAAACCCTACCCTAACCCTAACGCTAATCCTAATCCTAGCTTTAACCATAACCCTGATCCAGACCCTAATCCTAACCAAAACACAAACAACACCTCTACCCTAACCCTAACCCTACCTCAAACTCGAACCCTAGGGTTAGCCCTAATGCTAACCGCAAACCAGCCCTTGCCCTATTCCTAACACTAACCCTAAACCTTACTCTAACCCGAAGCCTATCCCAACTAGAACCCTAATCATCACACTTTCACTCTCCGTAGCCATAGACAGAGCCCTAGTCAATGCCCTAAACCCAGCACTAACCCTAACCGTAATCCAAACCTTAGCCCTAGCCCTAGCGCCACTAACACTAGCTCTACCAATAGCACTAGCCCTTGCCCTTACCCTAACACTTACCCGGACCCTAACAGTATCCTAGCCATAGCCTTGACCTTGAACATAATCCTGACTCTAGCCCTAACCCTACCCATACCACTAGCTCTAACACTAAACCTAAACCTACCCCTAATCCTAAACCAAATCCATACGCTAACCTTAACCATAACCCTAAAACTAGCCCTATCCCTAGCTTTAGACATAAACCCTACACTAACCCGAAACTTCACCCTAGCCCTAACACCAGTCCTCACCTTAACCCTAACCTGACCCCTATCCTTATATCAAACCCTAACCCAAATCTTAACCCTAACTAGAAAGCCTAACCATATCTCTAATTGGAAGCCTAACCCTAACCAAAACACTACACCTAACCTTAACCCTATCTGTAACCCTAGCTTTACTCAATCTTAACACTAACACTAACCCCAGCCCTAATTTTAATCCTAACTCTAAACCTAACTATCACGTAACACTAACCCTAATACTGACCTAACCCTAGTCCCAACCCTAACACGAACCCTAAATTTAATGCAAATCCTAACCATAGCCCTAGCCCTAGGCCCTAAACCCTAAGCCCTAGCCCTAGTCCTTAGTCCTAGTCCCTAGTCCCTGGCTCCTGGCCCCTAAATTCTAAGCCCAAACCTCTATGCCCTAAACCCTAGCCATTGTCCTAACCCCTATCCTAATCCCCATCACCAAACCTCTGCCAGACTCCTGACCCTTGAATCCTGATTCTGGCTCCAGCCCCTAGCCCTTAGCCTCTCCCCTTCTCCGACCCCAACCGGGCCCATAACCTATTCCTCACAGAAATACAACTTCTTTGAAGCAAGTCTACCTGTTTGAGTGTCAGCTGCTGTGTCCTTTCTTTTGCCCCATGGTCTCCCCTGTGCCATGTTTGTGTAATGTGTTTAGTGTTCATGTGCCTATTTGTGTTTGAACGACGCTTTTCTTACCTTCCCAAAGACAGTCCCATGTAGAGATGCCGTCATGAATGCTGCTTGAGGTGTTCTTCCTGGTGCACTACTGTCGAACTCACCGATGAACATAAACATCCTGGTGCCAAGGATTTTCAGCGAGGGATTTGGGTCCTTTGACTATGTCATCTGTTTCCCATGTGACCTCATGTAATATGTCTAATCTTCATCTACCTATTTGTGTTGGAACGACGCTTTACTTACCTTCCTGAGGACAGTCCCAGGTAGAAATGATATCATGAATGCTGCTTGAGGTGTTCTTCCCATTCCACTGCTATCGAACCCAGCGATGAACAGAAACATCCTGGTGCCAATGATTGTCAGCAAGGGTTTGGGTATGTTGAGTATGTCATCTGTTTTCCGCATGGCCTCATGGGGTCGGTCCTCAGGCGACATCTGGACTGGATGGCATCGGCAGCAACTAGTTCCTCCGATGCGTTCAGAACCCTGGCAAATCTCCATCGACCTATAAGGAAATTAGGACACATTAGATCCACCGCAGCACCTTCTACATGCTCCACATCTTTTCTTTGGCTTCTCTGACATGTTCACCCTTCTGCCATTGACAAACCCTAGCGTACCAAACACTGGGCTTCATCCACCTTCATGATCAAAACAGCCATACAAACACACAACAGTTTTCATAAGTTTTCTTTATTATCCAATACAGACAAAACCAACATGAACACATGGCCAAAAGGGCAACCAAGTGAAATAATAGCAGTTCTACTTTTTTATTTTACTTATTTTACTTCTTTTTTACCCGTGGTAGACAGTATCAAAGAAATCTTACTTTTCTCATCGCATAAAGAAGATGCAACAAAGTGAATGACAAATGATATTCAAACATACTTAGAATGTTTTAAAACATGACTGTAGAATGCCGCAAATGCAGTTCCAAGGAATAACATCTAAAAAGGCTTTCTTACTGCTTTGACCCTGATTGTGAAAACCAGTCCCAAGGTAACTAGACCGTGCTGACATGTACATGCTTTGGGATGCACTTGGAAAGACCACTGCCATCCAAAGTCACTGATATTCCATTGCAATCAATCACTTTTCCCGCCAACCTGCACGGAGGTGTCATTACCCAAAATGGCCACGAGATGGCAGCAGAGACCGACACATGCGATACCTAACCCACTATTGCCTTAGATGAAAGGTTCCAGGCATTTTAACAATAATATCCAAAGACCAGCACACTTTCCATTTTCAAAACAAAGTGACGGCACAGGGTCGTCACCACTCTGTTCCACTCCCGTGTGGCATCTTTCAGGAGCAGAGAGTTTTTCCAGGGGCTTTCTGCAGGCTTTTTGGGAAAGGACATTTCTCTTCACCAAGAGAAATGTAAAATACCTAACTAAACAGCCACACGACGGTGCGAGGTCTGGTGACTGTGGTGGATGAATCGCGACTGCACAGCCGGGCTGAGACACTTCTTCCATGCTCACCAAACAGAAACTTACGCTCCCACCTCACCCTGAAGCTTCAGTCTCTTCTGATGATGAATTCTGGACTCTTTCCCTCGGAGGATGCTTTCACTTGGTCTCACAAGGAGCAGTACCTGTGGCAAGGAACCTGCTGGATTTCCACAAACAGCTCCTAATGCTGGCCTCCATCAAAACCCACTACAAGGACAACCTCACCTCCTTTGCATGAAGACCGCCCTTGGGAGAAGGATGGTGGTGGTTCCTTGACTGGCCCTCCATCCCTCCCATTCCACATTATTGTAAAGTACCCATGATTCATTCCCCCTCACAATTCAGTTCTGGAAATGTAACACCTGCCTTATCTTTCAGCAGAGAACCTCATGTGGATATCTGGTCAAGATGGGTCCCCCCTCCTCCCCGCTTCACTTCTGTGAAACCCAAACTTGAAAGCGATGGACCTGACTCTGCTGCTGCAACTGATTTCTGACGCTTGATTAGGGTGCTGTGAGTATGTTATCCATCTCCCATGGGCCATGACATGGTCTGTCCTCAGTGAACCTCTGCCCTCCACTGCAACTGGTCTGTCACACCCATAGGGCCACTGCACGTGAGAAATCTCCAGAGTGACACTTCGATACATGTGGCGTCACTCACGGCAACGTCTCCACACACACACCACAAATCTTTCTTGACCTTACACTGGCACTTTTACCTTTCTTGAAATGACAAAGCCAAAATGGCCCAATATGTTGCCTATGTTATATTCCATCTTCACTGGGAAAGTGGACACGCAGGCACTCACTGGTTGTGTTCAGGTTTTTGTTTTTGTTTTTAATGCAAGCTGGTAAACCAGCTGTTCTGGTGCAATCTAACACGGTTTCCAATGACATAAAGGCAAGTATGCACGACAAAGTGATTGGATAGGGTTGGTGTGTGGCAGTGGGGGAGGGTGGGGGACCAAACTGAATTTTTTACCTGCCCAATTTTAATGCAAGGTTCAACCATCCTCACAGCCTTGAAATCTTACACAATGTGGTTTTTTGCTCTCACACCACTTAAGCTGCCATTCACAGCAAATGGATGACTGCAAAGTTCCATTGTTTGTAACTTCGGACGTAGACCCCTAGGGAACCTCCTAAATGAACCGCCAGTACAATGACAAAATAACTCGACGTGATAGATGGGAAAAACGCTCCACACTAAAACTTGAGAAAGAAAGCTTCACCCTTGCCTGCACATATTGTAAAGCAGAATCTACAAATGGACAAGTTTTAAACCTCTACGAGGAATCTGAAAGGGTAAGCCAAGTCCAGGCAAATCCAAGCAATGAGGCTACAGACATATTCGGAAGGGCATCGAGCATAAAATAATACGGCTGATATTTTGCTTTGCTTTTTTTGGTAACTCTTGGTGCACCATTATGTATAAATTTTACCTCCTCATTCTTTAAGGAGGCTGAAGCAGACCAACCAAAGACAAATGACTTTCACGCACGCCCGGAACTGGTCAAAGCCTGATTCTTGTAGCCTACAGAGCCACTTCAAAAAAGGGTCACATAGCACACATTCACTGCTCTTTTTGTCCTTGACCTGCAAACCAGTCACAAGATAACTGGACAGTGCTGCCATTTGGACGTTTTCAAAGACCCTTGTAATTACTACTGCAAGGAAAACCCATTGATATTCCATTGGAATCAACCACTTTTCCTGCAGACCTACACTAAGGTGTCATTCCCAAAACTGGCCACCAGATGACAGCAGAGACCGCCAGATGGACCACGTATCCCACCAAGGGCTGTGCTAAAAGGTTCCTTGGCTTTGTAGCCTAAGATGCAATGAGGGGCACACTTTTCCTCCCCGTCCCCCAGCCCCCGCCCCCGACAATGTGACTGGAAAACACCGTCGCTGTTTTCTTCCACTGGCCTCTGCCACCTTTCGGGTGACTTCACCATTCCATCCTCCCACAACATTGTTATCTTTCAGAGCACAGAAATCTTTCAGGGGCCTTCTGCAGTCCTCCAGAGAATGGAAATTTCTCTCCGCCAAGAAAGTGGGAAAGACCAAACTCAGAAGCCACGCGAAGGTGCAAAATCTGGTGAGTACTGCAGATGAACCACGATGGTGCAGCTAAGCTGAAATCATTTTTTCGTGGTCAGAAAAAGAAACACGCACTCTCACCTTGTCCTGAAGCTCACGTGTCTTCTGCTGACAGATTCCAGGCTCTATTGCTTGGATGGTGCTTTCAGTTGGTCCAAAGGGGAGCAGTACATGTTACCAGTAACTTGCTGGCTTCCTCAGGAGCTCCCACTGCAGGATTCCCTCCCAAATCCACCACAGGCGACCATGACCTACGATGGAAGAAGACTTCCCTTTGAAGGGGTTGCTAGTGGTATTTCTTTCTTTAACCGTAATCTCTCCTGTTCCACATTGTTCTCAAATAGAAATGATTCACTCCCCCCACAACAAATTGGCCTTGACAACGGAAAGTTACCCTTACCTTTCACTAGAGAATCACTTGTGGTCATGTGATCAGGAGGGGTCCCCTACCACCCCACTGTACTTCTGTGGAACCCCCAGTGTCAAAGCGATTCATGGAACTATGCTGATGCAAATGATTTTCGATGCTAGATTAGAGTAATTTCAGTACGTCGCCTCTCTCCCATGTGCCATAACATGGTCAATAGCCAGGGAAGGCCTGCCCCAGATGACTCTCCACTGCAAATGATCTGCCTACCGGTGGGGCAACTGGGTGTGAAAAATCCCCAGCATGAAACTTGTGATCCACTTTGGACACGTTCCATTACTCACAGCAATGTCTCCACACCACAAACCTTTTCTTACCTTACTGTTGCACCTGTACCTTTCTTCAAATGACAAAGCCAAAAGAGCCGGAAACGTTGCTCATGTTCACCAGTCTTCAGTGGGGAAAGGGCCACACACACAATCTCCAGTGGTGATGAGGTTTTCTTATTGGACGCTGATAGGATGGTGGCCATGACACAGTCTAACAAAACAGTTTCAAATGACGTTAAAAGCAAGTATAAGCAGCTGGAGTGAGGTGATGGGAGGGGCAAAAGTGCAAGTGAGGTTGGGGACCAAACCAGCTTCTTGGCCACACAGACTTTTTGGCCGACCTGATTTAAGACGAGGTTCAACAAGCAGCGCTGCATCGAAACCCTATGCACTACGTTTGGCTCTCACAGCCCTTCTGCTAGCACTCACAGAGAATAGAGAACGTTCTGTTGTTTGGGAATTCTGAAATACACTCCGACAGAAGCTCCAAAATGAATCACCATTACGATTTTAAAATACCATGACCAGAACAATGCTCAACATGCTACAACCCAAAACTTGAGAAAGAGATCTTCACCCTTCAATGCACACATTATAAAAAGAAGCTGGAAATGTACAAGTTTTGCACCCATACGAGCAATCTAAAAACGTAAATATAGTCTAGGCAAATTGAAGAAAGGGCCCCAAAGAAATGACCCTATAGAAATGTCCACGAGGGCAATACATACAATCATAGGGCTGGTATTTTACTTTGCCTTTCTTTTGTATCTCTTGGTGCAGCATTATGGATAAATTTTACCTCCACATAACACGAGGAATCTACAGCAGACAAAGCCACGACAAATCATGTTCAAACACACCTGCAACTTTGCAAAAACTGACTCTACTACACTACAAAGCCAGTTCCAAAAAAGGTCACACAAACCACGTTCATCACTCCTTTTCCCTGAACTTACAAACCGATCACGAAGGAACTGGACAGTGCTCAGATTTAGATGCTCTCAAATGCACTTGTAAATACCACTGCCTTGAAAACTCACTGTAATTCCACTGGAATCAACCACTTTTCCTGCTGACCTGCACCAAGGTGTCATCCCCAAAATTACCACAAGATGGCAGAAGAGACCGACAGAGGGAAGGCATATACCATGAATGGTTTTCTGCAAGGTTCATTAGCTTTTTACCTTCAGATATAATCACAGGCACACTTTTCATTTTCCCTCAAACATATTGACTTCACAAAGTTGTCCCCATTTTCTCCCACTGCCTTCTACCACCTTTCAGGTAATCTCACCATTCCATGGTCCCACAGCTTTGTTGTCTTTCAGAGCAGAGAACTCTTCCCAGTACCTTCTGCACTCTTTCAGACAATGGAAATTTCTCTCCATAAAGAAAAATTCACAGAGACCAACTAAATGGCCAAGGAAGAGGCAAAGTTTGTGAGTACTGTGGGGGAATCAGAACTGCGGAGCCAGGCTGGAACCGTTTTCCCTGGTCACCAAAGAGAACTGTGCTCTCTCACCTAATCCTAACTTTCCGCACCTTCTGCTGACAAATTCTGGACTCTTTCTCTCGGATGGAGGTTTCAGTTGGTCTGACGGGGAGCAGTGCCTGCTGCCAGTGACCTGTTGGCTTTCCGAAACCATCTCCTACTGCAGGACTCCCTGCCAAAGTCACCACAAGGGCACCATCACCTCCTTTGGATGAAGACCACCCTTTACAGGGGCAAGTACTGGTTCCTTTCTTTCCCCTCAATCTCTTCCATTCCACATTATTCTCAAATAGCAAAGATTAATCCTTCCCACACACACATTTTTATGGAAATTGAATGCTTTCCTTACGTTTCACTGAAGAACCACTTGTGAAAATCCACTCGTGAAGGGTCCCCCATCATCGCACTGAACTCCTATGGACCCCAAATAACAAAGCGATGAACGTAACCAAGCTGCTTCAGATGATTTTCAAAGCCTGATTACGTTGAACACATTGAACACGTTGCCTGTCTCCCGCCTACAATGACGGGATCTGTCCTCAGGGAACTTACACTGTTGAGGGCTCTCCACTGCACCTGGCCTGCCTGCCTGCCTGCAGGAGAAATCTCCAGCATGAAACTTCACAATCCACTTCGGACACGTTCCGTCAGTCACAGCATCTTCTACACACACACCACAGATCTCTTCTTGCCTTACCCTTGCACTTGTATCTTGCTTGAAATGACAAAACCAAAAAGACCAAAAATGTTACTGATGTTCATGCATCTTCACTGTGAAAATGGCCAACCATACACTCACCACTTGCGGTGAGAATTTTTGATCACACGGTGATAGGACACCTGTCACGATACAATCCAATGACGGTTTCAAAAGAAGTTAAAGTCATGGTGTCCACCACAACCACAACCCCTAATCCTAACCCTGAACTGTGCCATACACCAGACACCACACCGGGTGTCCAAAGCCTGTCCCTGACTCCAGATGCCTGGCTCTGGACATCATACCACAGAGAACAGTGCGTCCTCCTACTTAAATCTATGAACCCTTGACATGTAATCATCTCAAGTCTACAACTATAAAGCAGGTTTCTGTTTTAAAAAAGTTACATTACATCAAACAAATGATGCAATGATGATGCACATTAGACATGAGATACATGAGGCTGCTGCTGGCATAACAAGGCACACGCTTTGAAAGTGAAATTGATGAAAGTAAATGAGTAAATGTGATGTCCTCCTGAGTAAAAAATTCTAGGTAGCAGGAGAAGCTATTTGCAGAGTAAGACCACCCACGGAATTGAAGTAAATGGTTCCACATTATACTGACGATCAGACTGTCTTCCACAACAAAGAACTTTGTCACTCATCGATGAAGAGACACCTATATTATTTTAAACATTTTACTTATTTATTTTTAGAGAGGGGGCGGGAGAAACAGGGGGGAGAAAACATCAATGTGTACTTGCCTCTCACACGCCCCCTATTGGAAGCCTAGCCTGCATGCAACCCACGCATGTGCCCTGACTAGGAATCAAACTGGTGACCCTGTGGTTCACAGGCCGGCACTCAGTCCACTGAGCCACACCAGCCAGACAGACATCAATGTTTTTAAAGAGCTTCAATACTCCCTTCTAAAGAGAAGACATTCATATGACTAGCAAAAAAAGGAAAAATGTTCAATGGCTAAATCATAGTGCAATACCCCTTCCACAGCTACAAAGGCTATAATGCAAAAGTGAAACTGAGAAATGTTTATACTCACAAACAAAAAGAACAATGACCATTTCCTTTGTAAATGTAAAATATTGCGGACCTCTTATGGACTGGTTTGGCATTTCCTCAAAACAAATACCCTACTGTGTTCAATAACTCTACTTCAAAATATACACCCGAGAAAGTGAAGACAGCTGTTCTGACAAACATGATTATTCCTGTTTATTTTAACAACACAGGATTATTCATAACAGCACTGTTAACAACGGAAGGGTGGACAATATTCAAATGTCCATCCACAGATAAATGAATAAAGACAATTTGGTTTTTCTGTCATTGAAAAGGTATTGGACCCAAGGTGGGTTTGCCCTGGCAAGGAATCATGTATGTACATTCTTAACTTCCTACAGTAAAAATTTCACAACACAAAGCTAGAGAATTTTGAGAGTTTCTATATTAAATCTAAAGACACTGAAACAAAGAAAGGGCTTCACAGAGAAGAGGCACAATCACAGCAACAAGAGTGAGCATAGCTGGAACTGCTTCTTGGCAAACAGAAAAGTTAGACACAAAAAAAGGTCCTTGGAGACAAGATCAGGAGGTTAGCCCCAACGAACTGCCGACTGCTCCCCTGGCTGCAAGTCTCAGGGACCTTTAGAGATAAGGAGAAACAAAGCAAAGATCCATAGCAAAGAAGAGAAGGGAAGGTGCATGTGTGCTCAATGAACAGTGAGCAGTGAGTCCTTTGTCTTTAGGGTTTTACCTGTTTTCTAACGTTGAGGACTTTAGAGGAGGTCTTAGAAGAGTCATCTGCACACAATACTCAGCTTTCCAGGGCTGCCCTTCATGTGATGATGCAACAAAGTGAACACACAGAGTGATCAGGGTCCTTCTCTGGTGAATTTCTGCTTCAGAAAAGTCACCAGAGAAGGGCTGGGACTGAGGTGGGTCTTCCCCTACATAGTCTGGAATGTCTGAACCATTTGCTCTCCAATGCCCTGGGTCAGGGAAGGTAAGATCCTCAGGTTTATCCCCTGGCTATGAATTGCTAGGCCTTATTTAGCTATCAAGCTCAGTTTTCCCATTCCACTACCAAGAAATTTTCCTACATTTTTAATTAACTTGTCTCAACTCCATACACTTGGGGACTCATATTGGCATTGAATTTCACACAATGATCATCTGCTGATGGACACCACAGCCAAACTCAGGATCCTGGACACAGACCTTTGACTCCAAAAGCTAGACACTGGAGCGGACCCAAACCAAAACCTGGACTCCAGGCCCAAAGCCACAAACCCAAAGCCGTAGGCCCTCACCCAAGCAAGACCGTGAGGTCCAAACGCCAAAGACAAGATGCCAGGGATTGACATCGAACCCTTGTAATGCCAGATTCCATACACCAAAGCCTAAATGTTCATCTGCACGTGAACCTCACGTGTGAACCCAGAACACAAAGCCACATCCTAAGAGGTACAAGACTGTAGACACGCAACAGAATGCATTTGGACTCGGAAGCACAGGCCCTGGATACAGGACACAGATCGGTAACCAGGATGCCGATCTCTAACCAGGATGCCATGGCCAGAATTCGGGTTAGAGCCAGACACCAGGCGCCTGCTGCCAGAGGCCAGAGACAGGAGATGAACCGGATCCTCCCATTATAAACATCCCTGTGATTCAACAAGATGAAACCCTTGTCTCTCCAAATGCAAAGTTCAAAATTTTACCAAACCCCACAGGAATACTCTGAAACACAGAGTGAACAAAAACGATGCTGACCTTGGAGAACAGACGTCCATAATCTCTAAGCTGCAACAACTTCAGGACTTCAATCCACACTTCCGGCTTTTCCAAACTGTGAGGGGTTTAAAACGGATTCTTTTCCATAAACCTTGTCAGCTCTAACACCTGTGGGATAATAAACAAAATACCATACTCAGATCAATACAAGATAGTGAACATTTAATACGTGCATGAGTACAAATGAATACCAGACAATGAGGTCATATCAGCTATACAGGGCCTTTGGGAGTCTGGGGAAACAGGGTCTTATACCAGCACAATGGGTGATAGGACATTTATGAAAAGTGCAGCATTCGTGGAATATTACTTTTTGTTAGGCAGTCCCACAAAGCACAGGACACAACCTAAATTAATAAACTCTTCCAAATTTCACCAACATAATCATTCAGTTGAGAACAGGTTGCTTTTCTGAAATTGTTGAATGTTGTGGCAACAGCAGCAGACATGGCCTGAGGGAGCAACCAGCTGCCAGGAGGGCCTTGCAGCGCCCTCAGGGGGTGAAACGACTGGGTGTTTCTGAGTGCAAACCATCCACCTCTCCCTGCAGCTGGCAGAAGGCAGCAGAGCCCACGAATGCAAGGCAGGTGACCATGAAGCCACAACCAGGAGGTGAGCCACGGCCACACAGGTGGGACAATGTCACAGTCAGGACCTCAATGCTGCACACACATCAGGCGGCTGGGATATTGCAGCATTTGAAACACTGATGCAATTGGGACATCAATGAGCTGGGACATCGATGAAGGAGGACAAAGGCACAGGCAGGACACTGACACTGACAGGACATCAACACGACCAACACATATACACAGAAAGGACAGTGGCACAGCTCACGTATTGACTCAGTTGAGACATCGAAGCAGACAGTACAGAGGTACAGCTGGGACACCAAGGGACTGGGACATGGACAAAGATAGGACAGTGGCACAGCCAAGAAATCTATGCAGGCGGGACAGTGGCACAGTGGGGACATCAAGGCAGATGGAATGTTGAAATACAGGCAGCACAGCAGCAGGACCTCGACATCAACACACACAGGACAGCGATGTGGAAGGGACACAAACACAGACAACACGGCAGTATGGCCAGGACATCAAGGCAGAGGGAACCTACACATGATCATGATTTCGGTGAGCCTGGGACACTAGCATGGTAGGGACATGAACACCAAAGGGATATCGATGCTGCCAGGATGCCAACACACATGGGACATTGGACCACAAACACATGGACACAGCTGAAACAGGAACACAGGTATGACCCACAAAGGACGTCCAGTTACCTGACATAAAGACACCACTCTTGTACATGGGGAGAGAAGGAAAAATGAACTACAAAGTAGGTTTATATGAGAGTAATAACGTCCATGACTAAGTACCATTCCATTCAACATTCGTACATCATTCACTACAGCCGACCACCTTTCCTGCCGGCCTGCACTAAGGGGTTCGTCCCAAGATGCACTTGAGACATTTTGATGTTTTGTTGTCAGATGCACACTGACAACATTTTGATAACTGACCATAATGAGCCATGAAGCAAGATTACACAGATTACAAAGAAATAAAATTATATACAGTATAATTCTGGCTCTCACTGCTCTTAATGTAGAAATCAGGAACGAATGGTCATTAACAGGTCCTTACATTTAAAAGTAATAAAACACACTTCTAAATAACACTGCAATCAACACTGGTTGATATTCCACTGGAATCAACCACTTTTCCTGCAGACCAGCACTGAGGTGTCATTCCCAGGAAAGCCCACGACACGGCAGCAGGATGCAAACTAAAAACACTTTGGAAATGACCCTATTGTACCACCCATCAGTTTTCAACAAACTTCAAAGGACTGAAATTATATAATTTATGTTTCTTTCTGTCATTCCTGTTAATGTAGAAATTGGGAACAAAAGGTAATAGTTAGTCCTGATAGATAAAAGTTGCTAAATACACTTCTAAATTACATTGCAATCAACATTCATTCGTATTCTGCTACAGTCACCACTTTTCCCGCTCACCTGCCACTAACATGTTATTCCCAAAAGGCCCACGGGATGGCAGCAGAGAGGCACACATGGAACACTACTATTTACTTGACTAAAAGGTTCATTCCATTTTTAAGTAAAGACACAATGAAACAGACGCTTTTCGTTTTCACCAGTAATTTCATCAAACAACGTATTCACCGTTTTCTCCCACTGGTTTCTGTAGTCTTTCAGGCATCTTCATAATTCCATCCTCCCAAAAGTTTTCATCTTTTGGTGATGCCAATTAAAAACCAGTTTCAAAAATCAACGCAGCATTGAAATTATGTACGTTTCTCTAAGTGCTCCTATTGCACTGAAGCTAGAATTCACTAAAACTAAGTGACTAGAAAGTCCTTATATTTGGTAGTTAGGTAATACACTTCTAAATAACCTCAAAAATAAAACAATTTGAATTACAAAATAAACTCAGTAAAGATAAACATACTTCATACCAAAACCTATGAAAAACATCTTCACCCTTAAGTGCACAGTATCAAAAATAAAAGCTGAAGTCTGGCTGGTGTAGCTCAGTGGACTGAGCTCGGGCCTGTGAAACAATCATGGTTCGATTCCCAGTCAAGGCACATGCCTGGGTTGCAGGCCAGTTCCCAGTGGGGGACACATGAGAAGCAACCATGCATTGTTATTCCTCTCCCTCTCTCCTTCCCCTCTAAAAACAAATGAATAAAATCTTTAAAAATAAACAAACAAATAAATAAATAAAAGCTGAAAATAAGTGACTTTTGTGCCCATACTTCACACCTACAATAGTAAATGAAATGCAGACAAAGTAGACAGAAACATGCACGTTGACATATCTGCAAGTGTATGCACATAAAATGATGGCAGTTCTTTTTAACTCACAGCACTGAATTTTGAATAAATGTTTTCTCATTCTTTAAGTAAGCACCAACAAAGTAAATTAAAAATGCTTTTCAAGCACACTTGGAACTTTTTTGAAAATGACTACATTCACCTATAAAGCAGGTTTCAACAAATGTCTAACAAACTATGTTTATTGCTCTTTTTGCCATTAATCTGAAAACCAGTCACAAGGTAACTAGAAAATCCCTGTATTTAGAGGTTTTACAATACACTTCTAAATACCTTTCTAAAATAAATCACAGCCAGGGTGGAAAATAATTTACATAGCAAAATATTAAAAATACTGCATGCCAGACAAAGATCTTTCAGGTTTCAAAAATGATAAAAGCTTCAAACTCTGTTCCTCAACCCAAGATGATTTTGCCCCCAAGGGGACTTCAGGCACCATCCATTTTAGATGGTCCTGAGGGGAAAGGAAGTGAAGGTGTTCACAATGAATAGAGCTATTGGACGCTAATAAGCCCCGACAATGCGGAGGACAGTCCCCCAGGAGAATGAATTCTCTGGCCCAAAACATCCATGGTGCTAAAAATGGAAAACCCTGCTCTGTAGCCTAAAAAGTCTATTAGAACACCAGCTGCACGTCCCTTTGCATCCTAGATCTTAAAGGCTGCCTTTCTTGGAACAGGAAGGGTGGAGGCTAAAACTTAAAGAACAAAAAATGCCAGCCGTCTTGCCAACATTGGGGAGAAGTGTCCTGGGCAATAGGTCAGGCGGCAAAGGAAGATCTGTCCACTTGGGAGACCAGATCACACTGTGACTACACAGAGTAGTCACCTGAGGATCCTGCTTCTTTCCATTGCTCACACATCACTTTCATAACTGACTCATAATGTCACTTAGAACAAAGAATCTTCCTCTGTTACATTCCACATTGGACCATCTCAAGTTTTCCTCCTCGAAAATGTGGACATTGGTTACATTCTGTGTTCCTCAGATGACCTACCTGGGGCACATTTCCTGTCACAAAATACTTCTCATTTCTGGAACACCGTGCTTCCAGGCCCTAAACTCATTTAAAATGCTAAGAAGGATGTTACTATTTTATTTAGTCATGAATGTATTTATGACTAACAATGACAATTTTTCTAGCTCCTCACATTACCTCACTTCTTCTCGTTTTCTTTCAAGCTTTAACTATTTCTAGGTCACCTACAGCTACGACCACGTAACGGTCGTCGTCAGGGTGGGCGGGGTTGGACAAAATGGCGGCTGAAGTACCACCCGGAACAGACGGCTGACGTCACACCACAGAACCCAAAGGGCGGCTTTTTCCGCACAGCCACCTGAGCACGAGGACAACCACCAATGATATACTGCCGCCTTGTTCACAGGGGACCAATCCCCAGCTCCCACGAAGAGAGCCAACGAAAATAAAACCCCGCCATATTCCCTGCTTGGGCGCGACTTCCCGGCCCCGCTCTGTGGGCTGAGGAACCTCGCCCGGGTGTGCAAACCCCAGTAAAGCTCTGTACTGCCTGACTGTGCGGCCGATTGGCATTTCTTCCTCTGTGGAGCCTAAAAAACAATTTCAATCATTATTACATAAGAGAATGTTTACCTTCATTAACTCATGAGAATCAACAAAAAAATACCACAAATAGAATTTAGTAGTGCAGTGACAGGAAAATAACATGCAGGAATAATATGTAGAAATGGTAAGTTAAATATATAGTTTTTTTAAAAGACAATAACAGCAAAACATGAGGAAAAAACTGGGAATAACCTAACAATGTACAGGATGTACATGAACAAAATTGGAAATTGCTGTGCAATAACAAACTTTAAGAAATGAAAAACATCATCTTATCTGGGAGTTAAAAATGGCTATCTTTATATCTGTATTTACCAAAGTTATCTGTAACTGAAATATAATCTAGATGTATAAAGAAAAGTGCTCTCACAGGAAGTAGTCAGCTACACTGGACCTGAGACACGTGCCCCAGAAACAGTCTGGCCCCTCTTCCCTGCTCCTCACACAGCGGCTGCGTCCGCCCCCCACCCACCCCTCAGGCGCTGCTTTCTTTTGGCCTGAGGCGGAGCAGTACCTGCTGGAAGGAACCGCCTGGTTCCTGGTGAGGAGCTCCCACGACGGGACTCCCTAATGACCCCACCACATACACAGAATCGCCTCCTGTGGATGCAGACCGCCCTTTGCAGTGGATGGGGGTGGTTCCCTCCATGT